ACTAATAGCTTTGTACAAAGTGGACAAACAGATAAGAAATTTGCTAAGAATGAAAGAATACAGTTACATTTATAAAATAACCATATAGCACTTTATTTAGTAAATGTAATAACATTATTACAGTATTGTATTTATTATAAAGATAAGACCTGGTTCTCTAAAAGCCCGCGAATCCTCTCCATGGCTCGATCTGGATCGGAGAGTCGACCGATCTCAGAAAAGAGAGACTAAAGGTTGAAAATGATCTGAGTTTTTGCCGGTTTACTGTATTTTTAATGACAATTATCGGATCAATTTTTTTTTGCTTCATTCCTCAAACTGATTGATGTGATGTTAAGATGGTTCGACCGAAATATTTCCTGTTGCAAGACAGCTCTTTTTTTCTTGCGGCAAGGGAATTGGTGATGAGCTGTTTTTGCTAGGGAAAAAGGAATAAAGAACTAAAACTGATACAGTAATAAAATCGAGGCAAACTTAGAATTCAATGAACTTACAGTATATGAAAGTTTCAATCAACTTAGTTAAGAATTGCAAGTTTACTTCTGGTTGAATAAATTCAAATGAAAGATTAGGATTGTGAATGAATCTACTAGCTTCACAATCACGGATCTTCAATCAGGTTCAAGTTCCGCCTAGCATCTGACAGAGCTCACAAAAACCAAAAGGTCGGAAAATTTGCAAGGTTAAGACTCGAACCGGAGCAAGAAGTGAGGTGCTCGCTTTGTATACAAACACCTTATCCGCTAGGCCATCAGTTGACCGGAAGACAAGCCTTTTAATCGAGATGTTGGAAACTTGCCAAGTATGAGCTGCTAATTTTTGCGGGATTCTGATCAGCTTAGTTCTATAACTTTCCTTGGCGAGCTGGGGGTACTTCGTCAGGGACTTTTGTGGGTCAGATCAGAACAATTCAGCCTAGACTGAGCCTATCAATCTAGTCTGAATTGATCTGTACCTGATCTGTACCAAAAACAGCCCAAATCCTATTCCCGATCTTGATTTCAACCCACCTCTCGTGCCGCTTCTCGGCAATTCTCACGCATCTCGTCAGTGGCATCATCATAGTTTTCAAGGAACTGAAAAGTGGGGAATTTGGATGAGAATGTGATTTCTAAGCTATTGAGTTGGAAAACTTGTTCCAGAGACTGGATTTTTGGCATTGAGCACTTCAAGCCAGTGATTTCCGGATGCGGATCTCTACACAAACATGCAAAAAACGAATCGACGACTACGCGACACTCCAATAGACAGTTCATAGTACTGTCGCGTCGCGTAGTCATCTTTTTGTTCCTCGTATGCTTGCGTAGAGATCCGGATCCGGATATCCCGACTTCTAACCTTTATCTTTTCTTGGAACATTTGGTAGAGCTCGTCAACTTCTCGATCTTGACGCTCAGCATCCTAAAAGAAAACTTTCTGACTGAGGAAAAGCTAAGGAAGGAAAAGCTACAATATTTACCGTAAATTTCGACTCGCTATTCTTTTCGGAGCTGCTGAAACGATTATCGGACATTCTCTTCAACTCTAGATTCGTTTACAAGTTTTTCAAAGCACAAAGTATACAAAAATAACTATTATCCTGTTTAAAAATGAAATAAAATCAAATTTAAAACTATTTTTCTTTAAATAAAAGAATTTCTTCGCTCAAACGATATCAAAAATGGATCGCTTTTGAGAAAGAAAAGAAGAAATCGGATATCGGATATCGGATTTTTATGGCGCAACAAAAGTCCAAGACAAATGATTATCAAAGCTTTAAAGTTATACAAATTTTACAAATCTTTCTACTAAATCCTGACTCAATTAGTAATTTTCTAAAAGAATAAAGCGATTTCAAACTTTAAATGCTATTTCAAAGTCGTTATCGAAAGATTTATATCGAAAATTTTGTGTGGCAAGAAAATGAGCGAGTTTGGAAAGAGAGACGATCATGAAGGTCTACGAAGGTTCCATTTTCATTGGAACATTGAGCAGTTTTCTTCTCTTTTCGTAAAAATTCTCTTGCCAAATCAAAAAAAGATCTTGATTTATGAAATTTCCGACCAAAAAAACATTCCTATTTTAAATTTTTATAGACATTCTATTTTTTTTGAATGCATAATCGATTGGATTGCGTTTTTCTTTGAGCTTTTGTGCAAATCCGGATGTTTTTTTGTGTTTTCTGTTTTGTTTCCTTTGTATTTTCTTTTCTATTGGCTAATTCGCTTTCTAAAAAGCATCCATTTTAGATAAAATATTGTAATCATAAAGTCAGTTTCCATTCAATTAGCCAAGATTTTTGTATCATTGATGGAAAAGGGAATGGTCTGAGCTCAAAGTTTTGAATCGACTGGAAACACAGTTCATAACATAGAATCGGCAATGGCGAACAAAAAGCCGCAAAAATAAGGCGCAAGGAAACGCGAGAAAACTAACATGCGAAATCGGGATTCAAAACTGGTTCCTTTATAAGGATTCACTTGCTGCCGCTCGATATTGGATAAAGGCTTCGTTCTGTGAAAAGGTGATCCCAGTTTTGCTCCCGGTTCAATTCCACCCAAAAATTTTTGTTTTTTTTTTTTGCGATTCTTGGAACAATTTCGTTTTTAAAGCAAACTAAATTTTATTAGGTTGGTGCAGATGAAACTTCCGTTGGAACCATCAAGAAAATTTATTATAAAAATCCTAATACTAATAGGTTGATGCATAAGTCTTTTCATTTTTTTCGTACTTCTGTTAAAAAGTAACAAATTCACCAATTAATCTATAGTTTGCTCTATAAAAAAAGTGTTTTTTTGTTCAATTTCCATCTTTTTAAATCAATTTCGGTTCACTTTCAAGCAAATTCGAGAGTGAAAAACGCCTTTTTCGTAAAAATCTATAAAAAACTCTACGGAAAAATTGGCTGAATGAATTTCTCTGAAATTTTGGCGAAATATCAAACGTTCTTTTTCTCTATCTTTTATCTATTGACACGAAGATAGGTTTTCTTTAGCTAAGGTGTCTAAACCGCATCATCGAGTTAGCCCTTTTTGACTACCCGACTTCATACTCTCAAGAAAATCCAGGCATTAAATATTTTTAAACCCGTTTTAATGTTATTTTGCAGAAAAATAATTGGTTTTTCTAATGAAATCAACCGTAGTTTAATTCGTGCATTTGTTGGCTTGAAACGGCAGACGAAAAGGAACAAAAACACTTATGCATCAACCTAATAAAAATCCTAATACAAAAAATCCTAATACAATCCAAAAGATATATGCCATCGTTATCAATGACTCTTTGCCATCTTCCACGCAGGGAATGGATGACCTTTTCGAAGAACTCGGGCAACTGCGACTCGAAGAAGTTGGACACCCAGATTTCAACTTCTTCGCGGTTTTTGAATTTTTTTTCCTGCTAAAGAGTGCTGCATGGACTGAAACAAGTGGTAGTTCCGTGGCGATTAGCGGCTTATTTTTGCGACGTTTTGTTCGCCATTGCCGGTTCTATGTTATGAGCTGTGTTTCCAGTCGATTGAGCCAGACCATTCCCTTGTGGGCCTTGATTCCTCATCTGACTTGCACAAAAGCTCAAAGAAAAACGCAATCCAATCGATTATGCATTCAAAAAAAAAAAATGTCTATAAAAATTTAAAATAGGAATGTTTTTTTGGTCGGAAATTTCATAAATCAAGATCTTTTTTTGATTTGGCAAGAGAATTTTTACGAAAAGAGAAGAAAACTGCTCAATGTTCCAATGAAAATGGAACCTTCGTAGACCTTCATGATCGTCTCTCTTTCCAAACTCGCTCATTTTCTTGCCACACAAAATTTTCGATATAAATCTTTCGATAACGACTTTGAAATAGCATTTAAAGTTTGAAATCGCTTTATTCTTTTAGAAAATTACTAATTGAGTCAGGATTTAGTAGAAAGATTTGTAAAATTTGTATAACTTTAAAGCTTTGATAATCATTTGTCTTGGACTTTTGTTGCGCCATAAAAATCCGATATCCGATATCCGATTTCTTCTTTTCTTTCTCAAAAGCGATCCATTTTTGATATCGTTTGAGCGAAGAAATTCTTTTATTTAAAGAAAAATAGTTTTAAATTTGATTTTATTTCATTTTTAAACAGGATAATAGTTATTTTTGTATACTTTGTGCTTTGAAAAACTTGTAAACGAATCTAGAGTTGAAGAGAATGTCCGATAATCGTTTCAGCAGCTCCGAAAAGAATAGCGAGTCGAAATTTACGGTAAATATTGTAGCTTTTCCTTCCTTAGCTTTTCCTCAGTCAGAAAGTTTTCTTTTAGGATGCTGAGCGTCAAGATCGAGAAGTTGACGAGCTCTACCAAATGTTCCAAGAAAAGATAAAGGTTAGAAGTCGGGATATCCGGATCCGGATCTCTACGCAAGCATACGAGGAACAAAAAGATGACTACGCGACAGTACTATGAACTGTCTATTGGAGTGTCGCGTAGTCGTCGATTCGTTTTTTGCATGTTTGTGTAGAGATCCGCATCCGGAAATCCCTGGTTAGAAGTGCTCAATGCCAAAAATCCAGTCTCTGAAACAAGTTTTCCAACTCAATAGCTTAGAAATCACATTTCCAAATTGATTACGCTATTTTGTAAAAAAGACGTTCGTTAGAAGACGAATCAACTGATAGACAAGTACAGATCTTTCTTTTATTTTTTTTGATAAAAGAATACAAAAGGACAACCCTTAAGCCCTAAATGCAGAAAAATCAATACAGATGGGAAAAAAAGAACTAATAATCTAGCCGACGGGATTGAACCCTTGATATCCCGACTACGATACATGGCTCTTACCCAGTCGGCCATCTGCCTCGATAATAAATCTAGATAATAAGTGGAATCGTACAGCTAGATTCTGAACGTATCTTAATATTCAGAACGAAGAAAACGGGCTTCTCCCTTTGGCGACTTTTAAGGAAGACGAGATTCACTTTGATGAGCAGATTGCAAGAGAAACTTACGCGAATCGAGTTTATCATGGAAAAAAGGTTGAAGGTTGAAGGTTGAAGGTTGAAGGAAAAAAGGTTGAAGTTGAATTAACTAACTAACTTTTTTCTAATTAACCTTCCTATATAAGAGATATTTTTACACTAGAAGCATAAAACAGTACAACCACCAAGGATTTCTTTCTTCTCACTATTTTAAAAGATTTACTAACGATGAAAAGCTTAAAGATCAGTCTTGTGACGGTCATGGGTCCATCAAGGATGGGCAAGAGTTTCTTGATGTCATTTTTGACTGGTGGAATGAAAGGAAACAAAATTAGGTTTGTTTTGAACGAATATTTCACCTCTCATTCCTTCAGTGGTGCTTTTCAAAGCGGCTACGAGCGGTACACAGAGGGAATTCTGATCTTCAGGAATCCGATGATCTCGAATGATGTGAGTTGCCTCACATTACAATTTGGTTGACCTGAATTGGACCAATCCTGTCTTGGCTTACCCTTGGCTTGATCTAGTCCAATCAAAGCTAGATCAGGCCCTAGTTTTGATCCGGAGTGACTACAATTGTTACTCCAACTCAGCCCTGTACTGGCCCAGTACTTGACCCAGTCAGAGCAGAGCCTGATTTCCAGGCTTATTCTAGACTTTCAGGCTATTCCTAGACTTTCAGCCTATCCTAGGCTTCTAGGCTATCCCTAAGCTGACCTAGTCCTAGTGGTCAGGTTGAAGCATCTCTGGTAGCATCTCAGCACAATCCAGTTCTTCGTTTTTAACTTACATTAAGCATAAGACCCTGGCGGGAATGGGAGAAGTGTCGTTGTGTATAGCTCATTGGTAGAGCGTTCGCCCCAAAAAAGTTCGGGGGTTCGGATCCCGGCGGCGACGATTGTTTGCATTTCCAATCCAGATTTTGTTCTCTTGCGTATTCCCAACCGAGTGTGTCCAACCTTACCAAGTGCATAGTGCAAGCAATTCTGAAATTCTAAAATAACTCGAGTTTGCACTTTGTCCGAGCGCTCTTTCACAACTCATTTCCAAAAGGCAGTTGTTTTTGTGTTAAAGAAAACGTTTTCCCGCTCAGCTTGACCGCTCTGATCCGACATATTCTGATAAATAATCAATAAAGCCTTTGCAAAGTTTTATGCAAACAAAAACAAAAATGAATTTGAAATAAAGAAACATTTTCAGGGAACACACGTGATTTTCTTTCTGGACACTCAGGGGACTTTCGATTTGCAAACGGCGAGGAATATCTCGGCGTGGATCGCTGGGTTTAGTCTACTCATCTCTGATGTTCAGGTTTTGTGAACATCGGAACAGTCTACTCATCTCCGATTGGAGAACTGTGAAAGTCACTATTGTAGACCTTGAGATCCAGCAATTGTAGACCTTGAGAAAAGCCTTAAACTAAAATATTGTTATGTAAATTTCATTCTCTATGAAACTTTCGAATTTTCTAAACTTGAAAATTCCTGAAATTTCAGTCTTATCTATTTTGTGATTTTGATTATTCAAGGAGCTTTTTGTTAACTTTTCAGATTGTTAATCTTCGAGGAAATATCGGCGGCGATGATCTTCACGATTTGAATTTATTTGTTGAAACAGCCGCTGCTTTTAAAGAAGGCTTAGTGGCAAAGGTAGGATCGACGATGGTATTTTGAGCGTACAGTCTAGTCGTTAACTGTTTCGCTGATAACTTGATGTAAACTTAAAGACAAACTATACAATTATAGTCGTTCAATAGCCATGAATCTCCTCTTGAAAACTAGTACAAAGTGGCCGAGAAACTTCTACAAAATAAATAGCAAAAGTGCTTAAAAACGAGTTGACACCAAACGTAATCGTTATTAGTTATAAAGAATCATGAAAAATAATCATCATCATTATTGTTGTGAATGTGTTAAGCAAATTTAGTGTGTTAGAATGCGTGCGTTTACAATAAAACTTACAAGATAGTTAGTATTTAATAGTATTGAAATAAATAACAAAAGCCTTCAAAATGATTTTTGACACCAAAAAAACTGTCATTAGTATCGTCGTTAATATGTTAACCAAGTTTGTGTCAGAACGGGTGCGTTTACGATAAAATTTGCAGGAGAGCTAGTATTTAATAGTATTATACCGTACCGTAACTCAAAACTACCGTAACCCATTTCCGTCACTTTAATGACACCACTTCCCGGTTTAATTACCCAACTCTTGCATGTCAGAACGACAGCTAGTATCGATGAAAGCCAGTAATAAACACAAATAACAGCTAGCATTCCAAGATTTGAAACCTTTAGCTAAAACTCGTACATCTTTAAAGGCTAAAACTCGTACATCTTTAATACCCGCCCTGCCGCTTTTCCCATTGACAATCTAACTTTGAGCTCAAATATCTTGGTGTTAGGCTGTTCAATTGGTAAATGATTGGTATCATTGGATGCGCCAAGTCTTTCTCTATAGATTGGTACAAAAACTATTTATATTGAACAGCTAAACACCAAGAAATTTGAGCCCAAAGTTAGATTGCTGATGGGAAAAGGAGGGGCGCGTATTAAATCTTCTACAATCTATTTAGAGTCTAATTTTCGTGATTCGCGATGCGCCTGATTGGAAAGAGAGCGATTTTCTCGAGAAATTATGGGTATTGGGATTTCAGTCTCAGATTTTTAAACGATAAAATTCCAGAAACAAAATGAGAAGTCGAAAGAAATGAAAGAAATCGCTGGGTCGTTGAAAAATCGCTTTAAAAATGGAATCGATTGCGTTTGCGTGGCGCCAGCTTCGGATCGGATTCGACGAGCTGATCGAACGATTGAGTTACATGATGAGGGTACTGTAGCAAAAAGCACTCTTTAGAAAACGAACTAGCAGAGCAAAGCAGAATTGTTTTCAGATCAAGCACTGATCCAGTGCCTTAAACGAGTTCAAGACTTGATCTATGAAAAGTGTCAGCTTGAGAGCAAAGCTCAACTACAAGCTCCGATCGAACTAGCCAAAGTTTGGTTAAGAAGAGATTTTTTAAAGCAAAGTTTAGAAAATCACGGCTTATCTCCGAGACGAAGCGCCGGAGCTGAGACCAACTGTTCAGGTTTTTCAGGCTAACATTCGTGAGTAATTGCAAGTTTAGGTAATCCAAGAAGCCACCGTAATCCAAGCAGTGAACAAAGCATTTGATGCCTTTGTGAAAGCAATCAAGGTATTCTTGCCAAAGAAAGTGGCCGAGTTTTCCGATATTTTGAATGAATCGTCACACTTTAAAGGCCTATAACTTTACCCAGACCTGGAACTGGAGCTGGACTTGAACTTAAACCTATTCCTTAGTCTGGAACTGGATCTAGGCCAGTTTGGAACCTGGAACCGGAGCTGGAGCTACAGCTGGACTTAGACCTAGGTCTGATCCTAAATCTGGAACTGGAGTTTACTATTACTAACTTTTTACATCATTATATAGAAGATATTTCAGACTTTCAAATGATACCAAATACAGTCTATTTGGAAAATCCAGTACAGAGAAATCAAGGTCCGAGGCCAATCCAACTCGAGTGCCTTTCCGCCTGGTTTTCATGGGAATGAAAAATTCAATCAAAATTTCTTTGATATCATTCGAAAGCCTGAAATCTGCTTTATAAAACTATATATAAAGTTAGTTGAATAATATTATCTCTGGATAAAATTATAGGCCTTCAAGTGTGATGACTCAAACGACGAAATTTCAAAAGACCCTGGAACTTTCAAAATAAAGCTTTACTTTCAAAACAAGGCAAAGAAACTTTACTTTACAAAAATATTTAGACTTCGACTCCAGAAACTTTGTCAATGGCCGAAGCTTTAGCGAAGGCTGAAGTTCATCAAAAATTGGAAACCCTGTTGCTGAAAAAGGAAAATCTCATTGCTGAAGCTCACGCTTTGTTGAATCCAAAGATAGAGGTAAGACAAAAAAAAGTATTTCAGATGAAACATTGCTTTGTTCATTCTGTGACTGAACTGGGTAATTCAACGACTTGAAATGGCTTAGTTTACCCAAGTTTACCTGCTAAATTCAGTTTTTGGTATAGTCATTTATAATATTTTTCGGATCTTTACCGTACTAGAGAAAAAGGGAATTTACATTTATTTTGTTTTGGTTGACGGGAAAACGATGCAAAAGTATTTTGATAGTACCAAGAGATAATAAAAACAGTTTACAATTTTTTTTTACAATAGGAAATGATTCTGGAGAAGAAAAACGAGTTCGCTCAACTGAAAAAGGAGAAAGACGAGTTGAAAGCGGCTGAGAAGTCTGCACAAGAATTTAGAATGAAAATTCACAAGGTAGGTTTAAAAATTGATACTAAAATACTTATACCAAGATAAAAATAATTTTCAACCAACATTTACAAACCTTTCAAATAGATTTCAACTCTAAAAGAGGCTTTGGAGTGGGAAAGGAATTCAATTATTGAGAAAAACGATAGCTTTACGATTCCATCAACGATCATTCATTCAATGAAGGTAATTGGTCAATTTTTGATCAAGAATTTGGTTATCATTTGCTTTAGGAAGCGCTGAGCACTAAAATTATCACCCTTAAATCGCAATTCATTCAAACTCGACTCAATGAGCTGAACAATGAACTCCGAGTTTACTTGCTCACGGTTTGTCAGCTTATTTAGCTCTAAACTTTTGAATTCTTTACATATTTCAGACCAACTTTGGCAATGTTCCAGAAGAAGATCAGATCAAAATTCACATTAAAAAAATGATTGAATCTTTCAAAATCGAGTGCTTTGAAAATGCTATCGAAAGTGCAGAGTTTAACACAATCAAAGAAGTGATTCAAAGCACTTTAGAGGTTTGAAATTGTATCAAATCATCGTAATCCTGTCTGATTTGATCCTAAACATTCTTGAAAAAGATTATGTGAGGATTAGCACCAGATATCGAAAGATTTGATAAAAACTAACAAGATTATGGTAGTTTTCGAAAGTAAAGCTCTACTTATGTGGAGTGTGGTTATTCATTTAACTAACTCGTTTTTTAAAAAGTCTCCTTTTTCGACTACCGTAATCTTTTTAGAAAACGGGTTTCACTTGCCGAAACATGCTTGTCTTAAAGAAGATCGCAGAGATCAAAAAAGCCGAGCTCGAAGCTGAAGTGGCTGCCGAGATCCAGGTTTGAGACTAATTCCAGCGAATCTTGGCTCACTTTAGAAAAGTGATTCCGCAAATTATTCCGATATTTCTTCTGATTCGGAAGATGATTTGGAGGAAGCGCGTCAAACTTGTAAAACACAATCAAATGTTTCTCTAAATGTGCTGGAGAGGTTTCAAAGCAGGTCAAAAACGCCAAAATATTGTTTAGTGCTTCATTTCCACGCCCCAACTCACCAGATAGGTTCAAAGAGAAAAAGGAAAAAGAAAGTGCTGAAATTTCTCTGGAACTAATGGAAAATCATCGACCACCGTCTTGTTACAAACCTATTTCAACCCGCGCACTCGCAAACCGCAAACCGCAACGCAAACCCTCGCAAGAAGTTGAATTGAACAATCAAAGGAATAAAGTGGATGATTCGGGAATGGAAAAGACAAGACCAAGAGCTGACCAAAAGCAAACAACCAATGCCAATGAGAATCGAGTAGATTCACGGAGGTTTGTTAAAGTCAGAGCTTTGACGGTACTTCTACATCTTTGCAACGAATCAATATGCAAATTGATCTTTGACTTCTTACTCTATCATTGAAATTTAGAATATTTTTCCTAGATTTTAGACAGTTTTTCAATAAATTCGAGCTAGAATGAATGAAGACAAACCTAATAAAGCCATTTATACTATTTTCCGAGTACCTTTCCCCAACTAGAGACAAACTGGAGAAATTTACATTTATCTTAACGGGAAAACGACGCAAAAGTCCCACTTTAGAAGATCATAGTTAAAACAAAACAAAAAGCAAAGCAAGTGACCAAAATATTGTTGTCATTTAGTGCTTCATTGCCAATCAACTTTCCACGCCCAGACTCATCAGAATACGGTTTAATCTACAGCTAATATTGTCATAAAGATACTTCAGATGAAATCTGCGACACAGAGATCGACCGATATGTCTCGAAAACGCTAGTTGACGACGCTGTCCACGAGATGAACATCAAGCTCGGCGTTTTGAAAGCAATTCTAGAGGTTGAGCCAATTTTGTGCAAAGAAAAGTCGCGCTTCAGCAAATCCATGACACAAACGAAAAGCAGAGACATTTTGAAGAGATCTACCAGGAGTATGCGGGGTGGTGTAAGGCTCGACTCGACTCGATAGTCATGATGTACTTTGTGCACAAATTTCACACCGAGTGCGCCCTGTACATGCGGGAACACCATGGAATTGAGGTCGACGTTCGGCGATACGAGGTTTGTGTTCCTTGAGAACTCAATGATTGGATGTTTTTGAAAAGGCTCAAAAATGTTGAACTTTTGCTCAAATGAATATTGTCGATTATAACTTTAACTATTTTTGGATTGGCTGTGAATCCATTTCCGGAAATTGGGTTATTTCAGGCCAGGCCAGGTCAGGCTTCTAAGGGGCTTACAGACAGGCCTGTCAGGAGATTTATGAGTTGGGCCTGCAGCAAAGCGAAATCCAGTAGCCAGTCCAAGACCTGGGCCTGGGTTCACCATCACCAACTTGCAACTTGCGAACTTCGGACTTGCAAGTTGTAACTTGCAACTCGCAATTTGCAACTTGCAACTTCCGACTTCGCATAGGCATTCTAAAGTGCACCTACAGTACCGTAGTCAAGCAAATCCTACAAAAAAGGGTAAAATTATGAGTTAAATAAAGTTTAAAGGTATCTCTAGAAATTCCTACATATCTTCGCATTGAAGTAACAATATTTTCAAACTAAATCTTGAAGAACTTGAAGGGCTCAGATTGATTTCATCAAAAATAAACAAGTAAGACTAATAACACTGGAAAAACTGTGAATTCTATGTTTTCTAAACCAGGATCTGGATTTTCTGTAGGTTCATCATTTTGAAAAAAAGGCTGAAAAAAGTCTGATCTAAAATGGATACAGTCATGTAAATTATCCAGCGGAGCTGATATATCAACTTTAGAATGAGCTCATTCGTCGTAGCGAGAACCCAAAATGGATGGACGCGGAAAAGCTCATGCGAAAAGTGTTGCAAAGAAGGAAATCAGAGGTGAGTTGATCAGATTGGTTGAATGGAGAAAGCAGAATTTAGCCGGCAATGAAGAAAATTTGTGCGCAAAAGGTCGGAGATGTGTTCAACAAGTCGTTGGCTGAGGTTTGTGTGAGATTTGTTAGCTTTAGTGTCAATTTCATCATGGACCTTCCACAAGTCAATAAGCCAGTCGAAAATGCTAGTGAAGAACATACTTTCCTGAAGTCAATTCAAAACTTTTCAACTTTTAGGATTTTCGCAATGTGCTCGCGTGTGGCCCATTGAGCCTTGCAAAAATCCCGGCACTCATCGAATGCTCGAAAAGTAAACGCGATTGTTTCTCGAACACTCTTTGCACGTTTGACAAGTATGGGGAATTGCCTAGGCTGCTTGACAAAGTGCTCGTTGACAACTGGATCTTTTTCTTTTACAGTCTGGTGAGTCGATAATTGCCGGTACAACCAATCAATAAACCCATACCAGTCTGCATTCTAGCCAGAATTATAAAGGCGATTTTTCCGAGCCTGGCCTGGCTTGACTTTGCTACGTTCTGAGGACTCGTTCAGGCTGACATTGGCCTAGCTAAAACCTGGCCTGGCCTAGTTTACAGTCCTAATGGTAGATCTTATATTCAAAAAGACGACAAGGATCTTGACAAAGAACTCCACTTTTCAGCCAAAAAATGGCCTCGGTGAGAGGGACACGCTGAACGCGTACGCACGAGTACGCAGAGATCTTCCGTTGAATGTTCAGCGCGGCATCCACATCACTATACTGAGCGATATAAAAGAGTTGTTCATCGTAATGAAAAAGGTTTTTGTCTTGTAAAATACTTTCAAGAATTCAGAAGCGAGAACGGGAAGAACGGAAGCGAAGTGAAAAGCAGGAGAAACGACGACAAGCCGAGATATTGAGGAGGCCGAAAAATGCGAAAAAAAAATCAGGCAGGAAATTGCTTAAGAACTAACATGATTATTGGGTTGATGGGTATGAAATGTCGCTAAAAATAACTGATTTATTCAGTCTTTTACATGCAATCATTATCAATATTTTCCATTATTTTGGATACTTTGAATTCATTTTACTGGCAAAGACCAGATGCCTTTTTTGTAGAAAATCTTTTGATTTTAAGGCGAAGTAATCCGTGAGCCACTTGACACATAATATTTGAAATCAAACGTTTATTGATCAAACCATTGCTCATGACTCGGAATCAGTAGTTATCAGAAGGTGCGAGATTAGGGCTGTATTCAGGATGGGTCATCACCCCCATTAAGTTTAGTTTGAAACGAGTCATCTTCGAAACGTGCGGCCTAGCATTATCATGATCTTTTCTCTAGCAAAGATTTGGCTGACTTGTCTAGTTGCTTCTAGTATTTGATTGAGTTGAGTGTTATCTTGCTATTCAGTTCCAAGATGTTTTCCCTAGATTCCCAGGAGTTTTCAAATTATAGAACACCGAAAGCATAAACTTTTTCCAATCCACATTTGGCATGACGTTGAGTTCGGGCTTTTCCCCCTGCGCGACCCATTGACATTTTCACTGAAAGTTGAGAGTTAGAATTCATTTTCATTCTTTGTCACAAAGCAAAGAGTGAAAACGATTTGCCCTCGCATCGAGAGAGATAAGCGGCGCTGATTGAAAGGCGTTGTCATTTCTGGATATCTGTTACGTCTGTTAAGTCTTTTAAGTCAGTCTGTTGTTTCTGTTAAGTCATGTCGAATCCAAGTCTCTAATTTCGGCCCAAGTCTAGGCAAATTTGCGACGATCATCAACTAATAACTCTTTTGCTATTAGGAAGGGAGCCTGTTGGTTTGAAAAATTTCGAGCAGCTTGGCATTATCCAGCTGAACTGCTGGATCACTCCTCAATTTGTCTTCGTTTATCGCCAGAACGAAATTTAGCAAACCGATTTGCACCTGGAACTCCTCCTTTCAAATTTTGAATATTAGCTGAACACTAGAGGGCATTATGCTCTCGTAGAAATTCGTACAGAATAACGTGTCGCAGATGTCCAAGTGGCAGAATTCCAATAGCCAAAAGTCGACGAAATTTTCAAATAACGAAAAGTGAGGAAACCCGGTTTCATTGTTTTTAGAAAAGTGTTCTTGACTTTATTTGTTTACGAGTTTCAAGGATCGAAAAAATGGTGACATTTCATACCAATTAAACCATTATCTAAACACCAAATAAGCTTGAAATTTAGCCAATAAACCAATATGTGATAAGAAAATCCCCCGTAAATCATCATTTTAGAGCTAGCTTATATGGAACAACCTCACAGCGTCCACAGGCGATCACCTATCATCAACCAGGGTCACGATCGAATCAAAGAACTGGCTCTGGTCAAGAAATAGAGAGATTCGGAAATCGAGCCGGGCAAATTTAGGATTTCCACCATTAAGCAATAAATTTTTGAGTTTATTGTTTTGGATGAGCTTTCGATTCGATTTCATCGATTTGATTTGATTTTTCTTGTATTTATTTCAGTTTTAATTCTGCTTTTAGTTAAAAATATTTCAAGATGAACGAGCAGGACAGGAATTTATTGGTAAATGACTATTTAAACAAAAATTTTAAATTTTAACCCATTTTAAGTTATACGTTTATTTTGTCTTTTTTTGCCAGATTTGTCCGTAATTGCAAGGTCTAGGTGATTCAAGAAGCCACCGTAATCCAAGCAGTAAACAAAGCATTTGATGTCTTTGCGAAAGCAATCAAGGTATCCTTGGCCAAAAAAAGGGGGCGAGTTTCCAGGTATTTTGAATGAATCGTCACACTTTAAAGGCCTATAACTTTACCCAGACCTGGAACTGGAGCTGGACTTGAACTTAAACCTGGAACTGGATCTAGACCTGTTTTGAACCTTGAACTGGAGCTGAAGCTACAGCTGGACTTAGACCTAGACCTGATCCTAAATCTGGAGCTGGATCTGGACCAGGTTTGAATCTAGCACAGGAACAGGGGCTAGAGCTTACTATTGCTAACTTTTATTATCATTATATAGAAGATATTTTATTATTATCCTGCGATATTGCTATTGCTAACTTTTTACATCATTATATAGAAGATATTTCAGGCTTTCATATGATACCAAATACAGTCTATTTGGATAATCCAGTACAGAGAAATCAAAGTCCGAGGCCCATCCAACTCGAGTGCCTTGCCGCCTGGTTTTCATGGGAATGAAAAATCCAATCAAATTTCATTGGTATCATTCGAAAGCCTGAACTCTCCTCTATAAATCTATTTATAAAGTTAGTTGAATAATATTATCTCTGGATAAAGTTATTGGCCTTCAAGTGTGCCGACTCAAACGACGAAATTTCAAAATACCCGGGAACTTTCAAAATAAAGCTTTACTTTCAAAACAAAGCCGAAAAACTTTACTTTGCAAAAATATTTCAGACTTCGACTCCGGAAACTTTGTCAATGGCTGAAGCTTTAGGAAAAGCTGAAGTTCATCGGAAATTGGAAACCCTGTTGCCGAAAAAGGAAAATCTCATTGCTGAAGCTCACGCTTTGTTGGATCCAAAGATTGAGGTAAGAGAAAAAGTATTTCAGACGAAACATTACTTTGTTCATTCTGTGACTGAACTGGGTAACTAAACGACTTGAAATGGCTTAGTTTACCCAAGCTTACCTGTTAAATTCAGTTTTTGGTATTTTGACATCTTATTGATCTTTAACTACTCACTTTATCCTGAATTTTAGCATATTTTATTCTAGATTTGATGTGCTGTTTTGAGAACGATTTAAGCTCAAATGAATGAATCCAAACTTTATCAACCCATTTATACTCTTTACGCGTGTCTCGTAAAACATGCTGAGAAAATTGAGATCTATTTTGATTGGTTGACGGGTAAAAATACAATTTTTAAATAGTAACAACAGATAATAAAAACATTTTTACAATAGGAAATGATTCTGGAGAAGAAAAACGAGTTCGCTCAACTGAAAAGGGAGAAAGAGGCGTTGAAAGAGGCTGAGAAATCTGCCCAAGAATTTAGAACGAACATTCACAAGGCAGGTTTAAAAATTGATACTAAAATACTTATACTAAGATAAAAATCATTTTCAATCAACATTTACAAATCTTGCAAACAGATTCCAACTCTAAAAGAGGCTTTGGAGTGGGAAAGGAATTCAATTATTGAGAAAAACGATAGCTTTACGATTCCATCAACGATCATTCATTCAATGAAGGTAATTGGTCAATTTTTGATCAAGAATTTGTTATCATTTCCTTTAGGAAGCGCTGAGCACAAAAATTATCACCCTTAAATCGCAATTCATTCAAACTCGACTCAATGAGCTGAACAATGAGCTCCGAGTTTACTTGCTCACGGTTTGTCAGCTTGTTTAGCTCTAAACTTTTCAATTCTTGAAATATTTCAGACCAACTTTGGCAATGTTCCAGAAGAAGATCAGATCAAAGTTCACATTAAAAAGATGATTGAATCTTTCAAAATCGAGTGCTTTGAAAATGCTATCGAAAGTGCAGAGTTTTGCATAATCGAGGGAAAGATTCAAATCACTTTAGAGGTTTGAAATGGTATCAAATGTTGAAATGCTGCCGTAATCCTGTCTTGTTAAAATCCTTGAACATTCGTGATTTTGTAAGGATCAAGATTTTTTAAGGATTAGCGTCAGATATCGAAAGATATTGAATGATTGCATAAAAACTAACAAGTTTACGGTAGTTATCGAAAGTAAAGCGAGCTTCTGGAATGTTTACTCATCTAACTAAACTGTTTCCCAAAATTTCTCCTTCACTATCTTTTTAGAAAACGGGTTTGAATTGTCGGAACTTGCTTGTCTCAAAGAAAATCGCAGCGATCAAAAAAGCCAAACTCGAAGCTGAAGTGGCTGCCGAGATCCGGGTTTGAGACTAATTCTAGCGAATCTTGACTTGCTTTAGAAAAACGATTCCGCAAATTATTCCGCTATTGCTTCTGGTTCGGAAAATGATCTAGAGGAAGACCAATCAAATGTTTCTCTAAATCTGCTGGATTTGTTCAAAGAGGAAAAGGAAGAAGAAAGTGCTGAAACTTTTTTGGATCTAATGGAAAATCACCGACCACCGCCTTGTTACAAATCTATTTCAAAACCCTCGCAAGGAGTTGAATTGAACAATCAAAGGAATATAGTGGATGCTTCGGGAATGGAAAAGATAAGACCAAGATTCGAAGCTGACCAAAAGGAAACAACCTATGCCAATGGGGATCTAGTAGATTCATGGAGGTTTGTTAAAGTCAAAGCTTTAACGGGACTTCTACATCTTTGCAACGAATCAATATGCAAATTGATCTTGGATTTCTTACTCTATCATTGAATTGTAGCATCTTTTTCCTAGATTTTAGATGGTTTTTGAATAAATTCGATCTAGAATGAATGGAGATAAACCTAATAAAGTCATTTATACTATTCTCCGAGTACCTTTCCCCAACTAGAGACAGACTGGAAAAATTTACATTTATATTGTCGGGAAAACAACGCAAAAATCCCGCTTTAGAAGATCATAGTTAAAACAAAACAAAAAGCTAAACAAGTGACGAAAAGATTCTTGTCATTTAGTGCCTCATTCCCAATCAACCTGCCACGCTATGACCCACCAGAATACGGTTTAATTTACAGCTAATATTGTCATAAACATACTTCAGAGGAAATCTCCGACACAGAGATTGACCGATATGTCTCGAAAC